CTTTAAATTTGGCAGAAAGTTTTGATTTTAAAAACAATTAAATAGCCCTGGCCAGTATGGCTCAGTTGGTTGAGCATCCTCCTGTGTACCAAATGGTTATAGGTTCAATTCCTGGTCAGGGCACATACCCATAGTGTAGGTTTGGTCCTTGTTGGAATGTAACCAGTTTATCTCTCACATTGATATTTTTCTCTCCCTCTCCCTTCATCTCTCTCTTAAAAATAAATAAAAACATATTTTTAAAAATCTATACTAATAAAAGGATAATATGCTAATTAGACCGGGCTGACTGTTCGACTTCCTTCCGGACAAAGCCATGGTGGCAGGGGCATGGTGGCTAGGACTGAGGCAGAGGTGGTTAGGGGCGATCAGGCCGGCAGGGGAGCAAGCAGTTAGGGGCGAGATCAGGCCAATGTGGGGGAGCGAGCAGTTAGGGGGCGATCAGGCTGGCAGGGGAGGGCAGTTGGGGGCAATCAAGCCCGAAGGGGAGTGGTTAGGAGTCAGAGGTTCCAGATTGTGAGAGGGATGTCCAACTGCTGGTTTAGGCCTGATCCTGCAGGCCTAACATCCCCTGCAGTAGGACATCCCCCGAGGGGTCCCAGATTGGAGAGGGTGCAGGCCGGGCTGAGGGACACCCCTCCCCCCTGCATGAATTTCATGCACCGGGCCTCTAGTAAATAAATATAAACAAACAAACCAAAAAACCCACCACTAATTAGGTGGTTGCTATGCAATGTTTTTATTTTATTCCTGTTCATTTTATTCCAGTGTTTTAATTTTTAAAATGTTTTAAAGCTTGTCAACTACTTAGCTTTAGTAATCATTTATTTAGCCAATTGGTTGAGTCCAAAACAATGCATTTCTGTTTCTTTCCATTTGGAAAGTGTATAATTTTAGTGCACTTTTATTTCAAAGTCTGAGATAACAAAGTTAAGAAGCAGATGACAATGATTTTCTAGTACTTTGATGTGTCAGGGTACTTAAGCTTCCTGAACCTTAGGTTTATCAACCAGTAAATGGATAAAATAATTCTTACTGTGCAAGCTCACCATCAATAACAAATATGAGAGGTTATTCCTAGTTTCTGGCCTAAGCTACTCTTAAATACAACCAATAATTTTGAGTCTACAAGTAGTAAAGTCCAACACCACCTCCAAAAATAACTAACTTATCTCAGCATAATTTAAAAATGACTAGGCTTTTATTTATTTTTAATAGCAACATAATAATTGTTCCTTAATTTTCTCATTGGGTACTTTCAAGGGGGGAGTTGGGAAGGGAGCAAGAGAGAATATATAGAGAGAAATGAGTCACTTTTATAGGGCCTGTCCCTGAGTTGGAATTCTTCACCTCACCATGGCTTGTTCAGATAAGAGTAGGAAGACATTCTTTCCACAGGGGTCATCAATCCCTAAAAATACACAGAACTTTCACTGTGTTAGTGCAATGACTGAACATAAAAATAAATTCCTTGTTTTTAATAAGACTTATTAGAGAATATCAGTATTATCATCACCATCTTCATCACTCTTAGTATTGATCTTACTAATAGTAGCTAATATTAATTGAAATCTTATCTTGAGAGTGCGCCAAATATTCCAGGTGCTGGCTAAGCATTTCTTTTTTGGCATTATCTCATCTAATCCATTTAGCCCACACTCTTTATTATTTATTTTCAACCCATTGATGAGAATGGCAGAGGGGTTAAGTGACTTGCCCAGGGCCTCACAGTAAGTGACAGACCTGGGATTGATTCCCAGATCTGTTTGAATAAAGGTCCTGTGCTCATGTAGCCTTTGTATTATAATAGTTCGGCAGCCAGTTCCCATCCCTATGCCATTTATAGAATGATCAGCAGCACTGGTTTGATTAAGGGTTCAGATACTTTGACATGTAGTTGGAGTTAGGAGGCAGCGGGGTGGCAGTTCAGCCCAAGGCTAGATTAACATTAGAAATAAAACCAACCAACAAACAAAACATACTGGGTAAGTGACTTTTTTAGAATTGTTAGTTCCAGTTCATGGAGTAAACAATGTTCCTAGGCTGTAAAAAAAAGAACATTCTAGAAATAGGTTTATTAAAATTAGTTGATACTTTGCAGTATTTCAAATGGTTTTGCAGAGCAAGTCAGATAATGGTTCTCTCTCACTTCTTACTAAAAATGAGCATATTACAAATTGCCTAGTTTGGATAATAGAAATATTTTATATTCTGCATACATCTTATAAGAATAATTACATGTGTCACAAAAAGCAATTTTAAGGAGTTCTGTGTTGAAGAATTTTGTTTGACTTCTTTTAAGTAAACTGAAGAAGAATGAAAAAAACACCTCTTAAAGTACTTCGGTCACACCTTTATTTTTTTGTAACTTAAACTTGTGTAAGAATAATAATACATGAAAGAAAAAGGCTTTAAAAACACATTTGATTAACATTTCTCTTATAATACAAGTACTGACTATAATGATAAATTACACATACCTATATATCCACATTTTAATTTTTCAATAGCAGAAACATTCCTAACAATTTATCTCTTGAGTATAATTACTGAAGTTGTTTTTGGAGCCATATAGTTTATTTAGTTTCTGAATATGGAATTTCAGACTGCTTCAAACATCAATGGCTGACAGGTCCTTGGGAAGAAGGAGTTTGCAGAAGTGCCAACTAGATGTTATTATAAGATACACATTCCCAGGAGCAGCAGCATTAGCAAACAGGCAGGAATAGACTAATGCACATTATGTTCCAGCATTATCGCTCAGCTGCCAACGCTGATCACATGGAACAGCTTCTTTTGCAGAAAAGTGCTTTGAAGCATGAAGAATTCTTTGAAGAAGAACAGATGCCCAAAGGCAGTACCCATACGCATCAACCATAGTACAAAAACAAAAACAAAAAACACCCTAAAGTATAAACCAAGATTTTTACACCGAAGAAACATAGTTATAATTTCTTGCTCTTGAGAGCCATTATTAAAATATGTAAGTTATTTTGGGTCAAGGAAAATCTGCTGATCCCTCCATATACTGACTTCTGTGAGTCCCCATCTTGAGTTCTATTCTCCAAGACAGTGGGACAGATTAAAAGTCTGATGACAAAGTCCGCTGGGTAATATACCATCTTGGATAAGCCTTGTTTAAATTCCATTATATGAAATATTATACCCACTAGAATATGAGCTCTATGAGGTGACAGATTTTTTAAAGCATTTTGTTCATTGTTATAGCCCCAGCACCTATGGTACTTGGCACTTAGTAGGTACAAAATAAATATTTTTAATAAATTCATAACAAAATGAATTTCTTTTTTATTCATAACAAAATGCAAGCAGAAAATACTAAAATAAAGATCGTGTTAAGGCAATAGTTTGGTCTTAAAGCCATGGGCACTGAAATATGTACTGAATATCTTTCATAGAATTTTGCCCCAACCAGGGCCTTAGCCAAGCAGCAAATTATCTGACCCAGAACATTTCACTCCACACTCTATGTCACTTGCTTATATCATGAGCAATGATATAAAGTGGAAAATGTGAAAGGCCCAAATAATTTACTTTAAGAAAGAAATATAAAGCTCTCTCGCATCACAGCTCATCACTTAATAATGTAACGTCATAGGAACCAGGAACATCTGACCTCACAACTCACATGCCTGTATACTTTACCCCATCATGCCTGGGGTATTCTGGAACAAGGTATGAAACCTTGCTTCCTTCAGTTTTTTTATTCCCTTGTAACAACATCTGTTGGTCCTTTCACTGCTAGAATTTAAGAGAGATTCTGAGGAATTTGACAAGGATCCAAGAAATATCTGCCCTTATCCAGAAACTGGGGAGAGACCTTTATCTCCTGGAGCCAGCCCAGTTCAGATGTAATCGCCTTCAGGAGCCTTCACTGACTCCTTCCAAGCTGCCTTAATCATTCTCCTCTCTGATCTCATAATACCTTCCACCTCTTTTTTTCTATGCTTTTATCTTTATTGCTGAAAGTATAATAGAGGTCCCTCCTTTCCCCCCTCACTGGCGCCCTCCACCTGCTCCTGCCCCTCCCCAGGGCTTCAGCCCCTTTAAGAGAACCAAATTGAATAGAGATGATCAGTGAGTAGCCGTTCCTCCCACTAAACTGTAAGCTTCTTAAGGGGTCATGTCATTTCTCCTTAGCATTTGTCATCATGGGGAGCACAGTGCCTAGGATATAGTAGGTGCCCAGTCAATGTTTGCTGAGCTCCCTGCTCCCTATGTTCTGCAATTATCATCTTGAATGCTGTATGTGAAAGTAGAATATTGTTGCTAGAAATGTTCCTCTAATACAATTGAAAGCACTATGTGAAAACCATAATTTGATATTCTGTTTGATAGAGGATGTTATTTCTGCTTTAAGAAACTATTGTCCACAACCCCATGATGCACTAAAATTAGGATCTCTGTTCCAGGTTACAGAAACCCAAATGGCAAGTCAAATGAGGAATTTATTATAAAGATAACATGTCTCATAGAGGCCACAGACAGGAACAGAATGAGGCTAAACTTTGGGAATACATGTACTAGGGACTCAGACTCTCAGGAAAGTTGAATCTTATATCTCTGGTCTCTCTAATCAGCTTCCTTTGCTTTTCTGATCCACATGAAGAAAAACATGACTGCCCATAGCTTTGAAATGGGAATGACTCCAATTGGCCCAACTTCATTAAGTATTCCCCTTCGACCAGCCAAATGCTGGAAGTGGAGTCAAAAATATGGGCAGGTTGTTGGGCAGACAATCCCATAGGTATGTCCACCACACTTCCAAGTTCTTAGTTTCTAAGGAAAACATCTGGTCAGAATGGACTATCTCAAATTTAATAATGGTAGTCCCTATAAAATATAAAGTTTTTCAAAGCATAATATTCAAATGCATTTCTCTTAATAATACATGGTACCAATAGAAAATTCCTGAGTATATATGTGTTTTCTTTGTTTTAAAAATAAATTAATTTTATTATTTGATAATATTGACAATTTATATCCAAGTTCATTTAATATATGCAAAACAATTATAAATACATTTTGAAAAGATACGAAAATCCTCATTTCTTTCTTGACATCAGACCTACCGATTTTCAAAAGACACCATGAACATCTTAGGGTCAAAACAAAATCCCCCAGTCTGAATTGTCTTGAGAGATTCCTTTGGTCAACCAACATCAGTTCAGGAAAGAAGAAACATTTACGCCTTCTTTTTTGTTTTAAATGCTCAAACAAGCATTGTTTCAAGTGTTCTCAGTATCAAAGAAGACTGAGAAAGAGAAAGGGCATGAACTGAGTCCAGAAGACTTGAAAAGAAAACATATACAACATAAATCAGCTGTATACAATCCTGTTGTAAGAATGTCTAAGTCAGGAGAAAAAAATAGAATTAGAAACATCAGTTGTTGACTTAGCTCTCATTGATATTTGAGCTAAGTCTGTATTACAGCCTCAGTCTCTCCCCAAACACGATGTGTAATAGAAAGTGATATACAGCTTCACCTTTTCTCCCAATTCCCCACTTCACTTTATGCATGGTGTCTACCCTGTGAATAAAATTTACAAAGATTCTGGAAAAGGAGCTGCTGGGATGACAGGTGCAACAGCCAAAGTGCAGCAATTTGGGGACATCCTCCATCTGTTTTTATAAAAGATCTAGCCTGTCAGTGTTGAAAGTTCCATATTCTATGGAATGTTGGTTACATGTAGATTTTGCTTCTTCAGTTGCAGAGTCCTTATTAAATTTACTAGGGAGTTAAAGGAGCATTTGGGAAGATGGTGTCAGGTAATAGTTGTATACATGGGATTTCATTGCAACAACATTCCACTGAGAGCAATCACAGGTACTGCTTATTAGAAGGACAAAAACGAGCATACAGTCACAACCAGCTTCTGCCTGGGCTCTGCTACGCTGCCACTGACCATTATCCTGGGGATAACTAGATCTTCCAGTGCTATTGTTGATACTTCAGTGAACTTAACTGGGGCTTAATGACTGCCAGGCACTTCCTGTCCATAGCTCTACGCATTCTACTAGCTAGGGGGCAAATCTGTTTGCTTTACTAACCTAAAGTTTATTCATGTCTCTAAGCATTTATAAAGGAGCAAAGGAACATAATAAAAGTCAATGCTGCAGAAAGTTTCTGCAGAAAAATAGCCCCAGTATCTCAGAGTCATGACAAAGCACAGTTCAGTAGAAAGTGTTGGGTTATCTAGTGAGTTAGGTTGTACCAACTGTGAGGGGCAAAAATGATGGTTCAGAGCACAAACGTTGAATGGGGTAAATCTTGGATCCAGTTTCAGCTCCACCAATTCCTAACTCTGAAAATCTGGGTTAGATTATTTAACTTCCTTGGGTCTGTTTCCATATATGGGAAATAAGGATCGTAATAGATATCTCAGAGATTCTTGCAAGGATTCAAGGAAATAACATATTTCAAACTCCCAACACATGGTAAGTGTTGGATAAATGGCAGATGTATTATTAATGCAACATCTAGGATCTAGAGTCCTTCCTACTTCTTTTTCTTATTTAACTGGTAATCCTGGTGACAAATCCTGGATTAAGTGGAAGTTTAATAATATTCCCTTCTTAACTGGGTACTTTTTCCCAATTATTAAACGATAACAAAATCTATTATTATAATAAAAACAATAGTAAACAACACAAACTGTTACAAACAAAAGTAAATAACATTATTTAAAATTCATTTTGTTAGCTGTTTTCCTGAGACACATTCTGTCCATTTTCAGTTGAGCATGGCATTTTGTAGCTTGCGACCAGCCTGGAGGTACCTTCATAGACTGTAGGAAACAAAAAAGAGCAAGCTTTTAAAAGAAAGATGTACTATGAATACCACCCCCCAAATATATATATATGTATATATATATATATACACATACATACATACATATATATGTATATACATATACATATATATATAGCCATAATTTTTGTTTTCAATCCATTAGTGTTATCCTGGTAACACGTTCAGAGAACATTGTAATTTCTTGAGAAGTGTTTACTGTACCCCATTAATCTGGAAGTTTCTGGGAAAGGAAATTCTTTGTGATGCTGGGAGATCTATGGAAAGTCACTGTCTCTCTCTTGCTGAAAGTTAACAAGGAAGCACGTGGCCCTGATTGCTACTGGCCTTGGAGGAAGTAATCAAGGATGAAGCCACCTCTTTATTTTATTTTATTTTATTTTTTTAAATGTATTTTATTGATTTTTTTAGAGAGGATTTTATTGATTTTTTTAGAGAGGAAGGGAGAGGGATAGAGAGTTAGAAACATTGATGAGAGAGAAACATCGATCATGCGCCCGCAACCAAGGTACATGCCCTTGACCGGAATCAAACCTGGGACCCTTGAGTCCGCAGGCTAACACTCTATCCACTGAGCCAAACCAGTTAGGGCAAAGCCACCTCTTTAGACAGTGAGCAGAAAGAGAGAAATCATGCTTCCCTGCGTGGGAGTCTGGATTGCCAGTTCATGTGCGCCAAACACTCCTTCGTTTTAAACCAGCTTGGTTGTGTTTGGCACTATCACAGCCAAACCGACCTGGTGACTGTTGTTTGCCCCCTCAGAGCCCTTCTCTGCCTGCTGTGCCCTCCAGGGGGCTGACTCTAGAGATTGCATCACAAGGACTCTTTTGCCTTTCTGGTTCTTCTTGGGTTTAGCGAGTGGAAGGCTACTGCTGAAGATCTGAAGGCAGAAGGAGAGAAAGTTTGAGGTGTTTTTCTCCATTTCCTGCCTCCCTCCTTGTTTAGGTTACAGCAGTGGCTATTTCCTTCCACAGCAACAGCTCCTGCCTGGTGGACCCTCCAGCAGCCCACCTCTCAGGGCCAAGAGAACACAACTCCAGCCCTCGTGAGCATGGGAGGGGTACAGCCTCCTGCCATTGTGAGACTCTGGAGCCTCCATGTTCCTGTGAGTTTCCTCAACCCTACCCCCACCCCCCACCCCTACTCTAGTCCCTTCATCAAAATCTTTTTATTGGCTCTAGCTGGTTTGGCTCAGTGGATCGAGCATCGGCCTGTGGACTGAAGGGTCCCTAGTTTGATTCCGGTCAAGGGCACATGCCTGGGTTGTGGGCTCGATCCCCAGTAGGAGGCAGCCAATCAATGATTCTCTCTCATTATTGATGTCTCTATTTCTCTCTCCCTCTCCCTTCCTCTCTGAAATCACTAAAAATATATTTTAAAAAATCTCTTTATTGGACCATCCCAGAGGATTTGTGATTCCTACTGGGAAACTAATTGATACAACATTTAAAGAGCACAGGACGGTGTTTGGCATGTGGTAAATGCTCAATAAATGAAGCTATTAATAGAACATTACTATTGTTATTTCCTCTCAATGTGAGATGTCTCTCCACCTGTTCTTTGTGTCCAAAAATGAGGAAGAAAAAAATATAAAATAACTACACAACTATGTAAAATTAGAAAACTGCCCAGCCGGCATGGCTCAGTGGTTGAGCATCCACCTTTGAACCTGGAGACCATGGTTGAGTTCCGGTCAGGGCACATGCTCGGGTTGTGGGCTCGATCTCTAGTAGGGGACGTGCAGGAGGCAGCCGATCAATGATTCTCTCCAATCATTGATGTTTCTATCTCTCCCTTTCTCTCTGCAATCAATAAAAATCTATTTTTAAAAAATAAAAAACCAATTGATCTGGGTACCTTAGAAAAAGTATATGAAAGTCCTCTCCCCACATGCATGCATCTCTGTGATAACATGTGAGAGAAAGATATGAGAACATTTTATTTGACTTCAGAGTCTATGAAAAATTCTATTTATTTTTAGATGTTTTTAAACATAATCAAACTCCAATCAATGATTTATTAGATGCAATTAAAGCCCCATTTTCCCAGATAAATGCCACCTGAATAGTTTCCCATCTACCAAATTTATCACACTCACCATTAAGCAATACTAGTCTCTTGAATATCTTCATTTACAGGAGTTATATCTTTACCAAGATTTGGCACATCTTCTTTCTTTTTCCTTCGAAGGGGACTTGGAAAATGGTGTTAGAAATTAGCATGGGCCTGTTAGTTCATGCGAAGACAAAATTAATCATCAAGAAAGCCTATGATTTTATTTCTATACTTGTTAAGAGTGCATAGGTTCCTTTATTTTCCTTAAATATTTGAGGTTTTCTCTTAAATCATCTCTCTCCCTAGGCTCCGTTGATCGCTACAATAAGCAACAGTGGGATAGAGTATGGCTATAGATAGAAAGAATATGGCACCTGAGTGTTGATGCAGTTTGGTTAGCACAAGAACATTTTCTAAAACAGTCATTTTACAAAATAGACAGATACAGCATTATTTAGTGTGTATATAAGATATAATACACATTGGAAACAAATGTAAGAAAACCAAGAGCACTTTTGGAATGTTAACTAAGTTGCCAAATACATTAGAAATCTGGACTGTAATCTCATTTAAAAGTATAATTCAAAATTAATGTGATAAAATAGGCCACTTCTGAGCTCTGTCCAACAGATACTCTGTCCTGAACCTGGCATTATAAAAGCTCCTTTTGCTATAAAGTAGGTAAAATAAAAAAAAATAGTTTTCAATTTTACAGCTAGAAGGAATCCTACAGATTATCTGGTTTAATCCTCTAATTTTACAGAAAATACAATTAAAGGCTTCAGATGTTATAAGAACTCCAAAGTTTCAAAGATACTCAGTGGCAGAGCTGGAACAAAAATAAAAGTCACCCTGGAGCTCTGCTTGTGTTTCTCATCCCTGATGGCTGTGAAGAAAGGGATCATGAGACGCCCTCTTCTGGTCTAGACCGCAGGCCAGAAGTAATTGCAGCAGTTTAGGAGGCTGCACTAGTTTCTCAAGACAGAAAGATAGCACTGGAAGGGAAGACTTTTTAGCATACCACCTGGGAGTTCTAGTCTAACAAACCATTTGATGGGTTTCCAAAAGTAACTATCTTAAGTAATATACCAAGCCACACTCTCTCAGACAAAAGCAAGGTGTTTCTTGAGTGCCAAAGTTGTGGCATATAATGAAAAGTAAAAGAGAAGAACAAGAGTGTGATTATCTTTCATAAATTAAATTCATTATTTTGATGTGGGGAAAAATGTTTTGTTCATTTACACTGAGGGGCCAGATTATTATGACCACCCCATCAGTACTTCATTGACACTTCCAAAAAACTGAATATTGAAAACTTCCTAAGCAAATACTCTCAAGGTTTTATTATTATTATTATTATTTGCATAACTAATTCACTTCATTGTACTGATGGGGTGGGTATAATAATCTGGCCGGTCATAATAACCTGGCCACTCAGTGTATTTCAATCTTTCAAAGTTAGTTTGTCATGGTGCAGTTTGAGAAAAGGAGTCTAATTTAGCCCAACAAACTCACATAAAATATGATGAACTTTAGGACTAAATAATAGTTTTCTTTAAATTAGGAAATTTATACAAATTTGATTTTAAACTATAATAATTGTGCTCGGTAAAATGACAAATAGCATGTGTTTTGTTATAAATAGTTTAACTAAATGATGGCAAACCTGGAAAGTGATTTATTTAAATCAAAGGAAAAACAAAAAAAAAGTTAGGAAGGAGGGAAGGAAGGAAAGAATCAGAAAGATACAGTTTCTTAGATTTATTTTAAATTAAAAATACTTACTGACAGCATGTGCAGACACCAATCACCAAAATGATCAATGTCACCATAACTGCTGTCAAACAAATCACCAGAATCTGTCCTGTGTCTCCCCTCAGGTAAAAAAAGTCAACTCTCTCACATCTCGCCCCCGCGTAGCCATCATCACAGCTGTTAAAACAAAACAAGAACACAACAAGGTGAAAATGGGAGTTTTCTGAATCTCTACTATTTCTTTTATGAAGAAACCAACACTGTTTTCATTCCTTGGAATTAATATGGGACACAATTCCTTTAAAATGTTAAATAGCTGTACACCACTATGTTCATGAGCAATTTCTCTTTTCTTTGCTTTGCTGAAAATCTGTCATCAGCTGAACAATATTAACACAATGTATAACAAATAAATAGGGATGTTGACAATTTACTAAACTTTAGTTTGGAATTTTAGATTTTGCATTTGAATAAAGAAAATGATAAAATTCCCTCCACAACATTCCCAAGCTCTTAAATACCTACATGACAAGGGTTTCCCATTTCATCGCAGGGTAATAGGAACAATTTCAGTGTGCCCAGGTTCTCTTAATATAATTTATTTAAAAATTATATTGTTTCATATAATCAAAAATGGTAATGTGCATGGAAGTTCATAGTCATCTACCTACATATAGACGTTCCATAAATATTATTCAACAGAATTCCTCTCTCTCTGTGACTTCCACCCGTCAGTTCTAGTTCTATTGCTTGCAGGTGTCACAGATTAGGTACTGCTCTTCTATTGCTCTTCTAGTCACCAACTACACTCCAAATAGGTCATTATCCTCTCTGGTTCCTGGTTTCTGGTTCCTTTATCTGATGTTCTAAGGCCACATTCTCAGATCTGGTCATAATTCCCTCTACTCTCTTCCAAATGGCCTCCCTTTCTCCATGGCCTAATAAAGTGCAGTGACCAGAAATCAACAAGTTTTCCCAGTGGAGTTATCACTCCCCTCATTCTCTCAACTCTCTATCAATACAGTCCTAGGATTCACCTGAACTCAGGGGATGCCCCAAGTCTGAGTTACAGTTAGGGGTGTATTTGACCACGCCAAGGCTTGTCTGAGCAGCACTCAAAAAGCTCCAGGCTCAGTGATTTGGAGACTATTCCTGGTATTCTCTGAAGAGTGCCTGTGCTTCAAAGGTATTTAAGAAGTTTGAGGACATTTGAAACTGAAATTATATGTTGTAACATCAATTACTTTCCCCCTTTTCTCCTTAGACTCATTCAAAATGCAGAGATGTTGGTCATAATTATATACATCTGAAAAGGGGGAAATTATGCTTCTTGAAAAGACTTCTGTACAACCTCTTTTTGTTTTGTTTTGCTTTGCTTGATTTAGTTTTATTTTGTAAAAAGAGATGAATTGCCAGGCTGTTCTATGATTTATGTTTGACCAAAAAGTCAAGGCAGTTAATTCCCACAAATAAGGAGATTCCCTAAATGCCAAGATTGCAGCTGATACAATGCTACAAAAATTAAACAAAACAAAACAAAAAAACAAGCTTGGCTGGAGTGGCTCAGTTGGTTGAGCATCATCCTATGCACTGTAAGGTTGCTGGTTCCATTCTTGGTCAAGGCACACACCTGGGTTGCAGGTTCCATCATTTGGGATGATCATAGAAAGCAACCAATGGGTTAATCTCTCTCTCTCTCTCTCTCTCTCTCTCTCTCTCTCTCTCTCTCTCTCTCTCCCTTCCCTCCCCTCCCCCCTTCCTCTCTGTGAGGATGTCCTCAGGTGAAGATTGAAAACAATAACACAAAAACAAGCTCAATCTCAACCCTGAGTTGAAAGGTGAGGTTCAATGCAGACACAGGAGAAAGACAATGCCATCTACTGCACAAGGACCCCAGGACCTATGAGAGAAAACTGCTTCCTTCAAGAGAATTGGGTATCTTTGTTGCAAGGTTAAAATCATGGAAAGAAAGCTTAGAAATATCTCAAAACATCAAAAAATCTCTTGTACATGGGCCTGGAACTGGGGGGTAAAATCACTTTTAATTGCATATGTGGGATGAAGGATTTTAAGAGTCTTTTTTTAAAGGTCATAATTAAAATCTTACAAATATAGTCTCTCCTAATTAGCTTAAATGTTTCTCTAACAAATTCACTAAAGGTGGCATTTTTAAACAAAAACTTTGCCTGTAAAATACACAGGAATTACTTAGTGCTCTTTAGAATGCTTTTCTAATTATAAAATTCAGATCCTGTGGTGTAATCACACTTTGGTTGAATTTCTCAGTGAGCAGTAACCCTCCCTAAAAGTTATAACCCAGTGAACCATGCTAGAAGGTGAAACCTTCACCAGTGATAGTGGCTCTCATGTTATTTCACTTCTCATCAAACCAATAATAACCTACATGCCGGTGTTCATTTTAATAGGTGAAAAGGAGGCAAAGGGTACAAGATTCCAGTAGATGTTTATTAAATGCTGAATAACTAAACAAATGAGATTTAATAACCATGAAATAAAATTTTAAATAATTTTTAAAGATGCCCATGACCCTTGAAGACTCTGCAAAATCAGATTGGGAATCACTTTTCTGGAATAATCACCAGACACAAATCTAAGAGATTTAGAAGTATTAACTCAATTGATTCTTTTTTTAATACATTTTTTATTGATTTCAGAAGGAAGAGAGAGGGAGGGAGAGAGACAGAAACATCAATGACGAGAGAGAATCCTGGATTGGCTGCCTCTAGCATGTGCCCTGACTGGGAATCGAACCTCAACCTCCTAGTTCATAGGTCAATGCTCAACCACTGAGCCACGCTGGCCGGGATCAATTGATTCTTAAAAACAACCTTTGCAGTCCTAACCGGTTTGGCTCAGTGGATAGAGCGTCAGCCTGCGGACTGAAGGGTCCCAGGTACGATTCCGGTCAAAGGCATGTACCTGGGTTGTGGGCACATCTCCAGTGGGAGGTGTGCAGGAGGCAGCTGATGGATATTTCTCTCTCATTGATGTTTCTAACTCTCTATCCATCTCCCTTCCTCTCTGTAAAAAATCAATAAAATATATTTTAAAAAAACAACCTTTGCAGTAGTTGTTATTATTAACCCATTTTACAGATGGAGTAACTCAGCTACAGAGAAATTGAGCGAGTGGGGCTGGGGCTCAAATGCAGGAAGTTGCCTACCAAGTTAATGCCCAACCCCATGTAATTCTGCTTAATTGAAATGTGCTGCATAAAGAAATAAAAATTATGTATCTGGAAACAAATTATCTCCATTCCAAGAATCTCCAGAAGAGACTAATAGAGGATTGAAGTTCTTTGAAGTTCTTTGAAGCACTGTGGTATTTATGTAAAAACAGGCATCCACAAACTCCTGTGAGCTCAAGCAAAAGGAGATATTTCTGGTTCCCAGAATAGCATAGGCACCAGGGACAGTTTCGCCTGAATCCATGTAAGTTACCCAAAAGGTCAGGCCTAGGTTCAATATTTCTCACTCATCTCATGGTACAATTTATGAAACATTTACTCTGTGCTAGGTACCATAATACATATTTTTATTAATGTTTATTTTGCTTAGTTCTCAACACTTCAGAGGGAGATATTATTATTCCATCTTATGGATGATAAAACTGAGACTTGGGAAAGATAACTGATCCATTGTTAAACTTGCTTATTATTGATGGAAACAAAATTTTAACTTAGGTCTATTTGATTCCAAAGTCTGTGTCCTGCCTCATATGCTTTCCCACCTCCTATTGATTCAGTATCATTCTACCACTAAGAAGGTGTTCCTGGTTCAGATTAAGGCCTTGGTTTGTGTTTTTTTATATGTTTTTAAAATTGATTTTTTTTAGAGAGAGAGGAAGGGCGAAGGATATATAGAGAGAAAGATGAATCAGCTACTTCCTGCATGCCCCCTACTGGGCATTGAACCACAATAAGGGCATGTACTCTGACCAGGAATTGAGCAGGTGACCTCCTGGTTGTGGGTCAATGCTCAACGACTGAGCCACATCACCCGGGCAAGGCCTTGGTTTTGACACTTAGCATAGCACTAGATGGATTATGATAGAGGGACTCAGTCACTAATTCATCAGTCATTTCTTCAGCACCTCGTAAAATCTAGGTGTGATGCTTGGCACTGGAACACAAAAAGGAATAAGCCATGAGCCCTGCCTTCTAGGTGTTCACAGTCACAGAAGTGACATTTACAGAAACCATTTATGCGCCAGGGGGAAAGAGTTTTTATAGAAGTGGGAGTGGATCCCAGAGAAAGGGCATTTGGCCAACACCTGAACGTGTCTGAGAAGAGGGAGTTAATGCAGGGGTCCAGGAAGAGCTGATGTTTGAGCTGCACGTAAAACACCAGTGAGAATGAGCTTTGCAGACTCTGAGAAGAGCTTGTGTGATACACATGCAAAGGAACGCAGGATTGTAGAGGAACATTTGACTCTATCACGGAGATGTGGTGAGGACGTTAAAGCGGGATCAGAGGAGCTTTGGAGGCTGAGGAAATGAGTGGGCAGAAGGGAGCATGCTGTGTGTTGATTGATCTTAGGGAGGAGATTACACACTGTGGTTTTCATTTTAGAAGGCAGCAATACTACAGAGCAATAAATGTACAGACATAGAGATCAGTTAGAAAAATGTAGTGCATTAATGAGCATTAATATTTAAAAGACTCAATATATTCTCCCAAACCAATGAGCAATTAAATGGAATTGAAAAAAAAATCAGCTCTTTCCCAACACACACACACACACACACACACACACACGCACATTTTTCTTATTCCCTTTTCCCCTCTAATTATTATCCTTATATATTTATTTTTTAAATTAAATTTAAATATAATTAAATTTTGAAGAAGTCCATGACTCAAACATTTCACTAAATTAGGGATTAGAATTACTGTCCTGAGATAATGATTAAAAAACAAACAAACACAAAAACTATGCTGGGGGAAATGCACAGAATATAAATATTCTATGAATTTTAGGTCAAAATTATACTTAAGAAATCACATTGCTACCCTATGAGGTAAACTCTAAAAGCATTTTAGAGGGACATCTCTTTAGAAGAAAATGAATATTTAAATTATGCAAAAATGTTTCTTGTGCCTGAGAAAATTAAAATTTGGACTCTTAATGTACTAACAGGTGAAGATTTTTCTCCCAATTCCCTGCCCTATTAAACAAGCTTTGGAAATCTATATTTATTCATAAGATGGGTTTCTTTGCACTTAATTGACACCTGCAAAAGTAACTTTTAATTTGGCAGAAACTCTTTCATATTTAAATGAATTACAAACCACATAACTAATGCCAGAAAATGTTGTTTCCATTTAAAACACATGGGAGATAAATTGAGCTTTTAAAAGCACCCTTTAAAAAATTATCTTTATTGTTGAAAGTATTACAGATATTCCCCCCGTTGACTGCCTCCACCCCACTTCCGGCCCCTCCCCGGGCCTTTACTGCACTATTGTTTATCCATGGGTTATGCATATATGCATATAAGTTCTTTGGTTAATCTCTTCCTGCCCTTCTGTGAGGCTCATGTGATAACCACTACACCACAAACACAGATGGCTTAAGGCTACGGAATTATAAGAAGCACACAGGAGGATATCACCAAAACAGAAGCAAGTCCCATGGAGATCCCTGGATTCAAAGTCAATAGTGCTAACCATTACACCATGGGGCCATAAAAGCAACCCAGGTGCCCATCAGTAGATGAGTGAGTAAAAACACTGTGGTTCATATATACAATGGAATACTACTTGGCCATAAAAAAGAATGGAATCTTACCATTGGCAATAGCATGTATGGACCTAGAGGCCATTACGCTAAGTGAAATAAGTCAGTCAGAGGAAGACAAATGCCATATGATTTCACTTGTTTGTGGAACCTAAAGAACAATACAAATGAGCAAACAAAACAGAAACAGAGTCATAGATACAGAGAACAGACGGATGGTTGCCAGAGGCAAAGGTTGGGGGGTTGGAGGGGGAAGATGAAGACATTCAGAAGTACAGATTGGTGGCTACAAAGTAGTCAGAAGGATGTAAATTTCAGCATAGAAAATATAGTCAACAATATTGCCATAGTATGTAAGGTGCCGGGTGGGTACTTGATATAGGGGGAACACTTTGTAAAGTATATGATTATATAACCACTATGCTGGATACCTCAAACTAACACATAATAAATTGAATATAAACTAAATTGAAAATAATAATAATAAAACTACAGTGAAAGAGAAAAAAAAAACATTCTCAACACTGGACAGAAACAGTCTTGCTTGTCTAAGTCAGCAGAGGACGCGGCCCTGTCTGCAAGCAAATCAGGACCCTCTGATGTGCACCAGTTTCTCCAGAAGCACCTGTGGAAGGAGCCCCTGAACAAGTGGCTGGGGTAGGACCAGGGGTCTCTGTGCTGGCAGATGGCTTGATGAGCTCAGACTTGCCAGAGCTGCGGAGCCCCTGCCAGCACCATCCCGCGCCCCTGTGCTTGCAGGCTCAGGGCCTCCACTTACAGGCAGGAGGGTGTCTGCAGGGCCCCCACGAAGCGACATTTCCCGTTGATGCAGTAATGCTCATATTTCTTGGGGCACGGAGAGAAGTAGTCATTCCACTTTGATTGTGTGGTGGTCACTAAAAAATAAGAAAAACTTCAATAAGTCACTCACCTTAAAAACACATTTCTAAGTAGTAGTATACTCTTATCTTTACTGCCAGGTTTTCTGTAGAATATATTCCCATTTCTCTTTTCTCCTCTCTACACTGGCATAAAGGTTATACTTCTGTGGCTCCAAAATAACGCTAGAGATTGTATAATGGGAACTGTGGTGGGAACACTTCATATTTTAATTAGATTTATGAACATTCTACCTCTCAGAAACATTGGTGTTGTTTAAAGGGTAGAGCATAGTTGTGGTAAGAGAAAAGGTTACTCTTTTCATGAAGATTATTAGAGCCGAGGGGCTGGTGGCATTGAAGAGAGAAGTATGCTTTTCTTTTCCTTTTTAAAGTTGTTTGAATTTAAACACTTACAAAGCATTTACTGAAAACCAGATGCTGGTCTGTATACTTTGTTTTTATGAATGTATTTAATTCTCATAACACTCTTAGAAGTAAACAGCATCCTAATGTCCTTTTATTAATGAGCAAATCTCCTATTTATTAATGAGAGGCTAAGGCACCTTCCAGAATCACACACCTAGTACTGGGCAGGCCTGGGGAGCAAACGTGGGCCATCTTGCCCCACAGTCCATGCTCTTGACCCCTCCACTCAGCACTCCATCGAGCCAGCTGTTCACGGGTGGCTGTCATCTTCTCTGCACCTGAGGCCCCCAGAAGTCATGCTTCCTGAATGGGAGATTCTCTCTCTCAGTTGACCCCTGGAAGGATGCTCATGGCCTGAAGAAGGAGGAAGATTCTGAAAGCTTCACATCCAGGATTTCAATCCTGCACTGCCCTGACCTTCTTGCCTCACCTTTAGGGTAGTGATTGCCTATTTATTCACCTGGGACAGTAATATGTAACCATTTTCTCATCATAGAAAGTTTCAATAAATAAACATTGTCAAGAGGAACAGTACAGAAATGCTAACTGGCTGTGTGGATTCACAGCAGACATGTGCTCACACCCAGAGAGAGCAGCTAACTAGCCAGGCCCAGCCCAGGGTCGGACTTTCCATATTCATGTCATGACCAGCAGCTTGCAGGAGTCAGACACCTGTGGAGCCAGAAAGACCACAGCGTTCGCTTCTGGAGGGCCTTTCACACTAGGTTTGGTGTGGCACCTGCCACCCCAGTGACATCAAACAATCCTTTTATTATTAGCAAAGACTGCTAAACTTCTTCCTTCATGTTATGTAATGAGCACATATAATTGCTCAGGGCCACCAGAGGGGAGTCGCAAAGAGCTCTGACGATCTACACACAGCAAATGCCTGCGATGCCAGGTCACAGTTTAAGTGGGTGGCAGAATGTTGCTGAGGAACTGGCTGACCTGGTTTTGGTTGGTGGCTTAATTACCAGCCATGCTCACTGCTGGTCTGCCCCAGATATTTCTGTCATGCGTGCCAATCAATGGGGTTCTTACTGAAATTTCTGCCAGAAATAAGTGCAAATTGGCTCAAAGGCAAAGATCTGTGTATTTTGGCAAATAAATTGATTCGTCAACTTCCATTCATCAAGTACTTTCTATCTCCAGAGCCTATAGTAGACATTGGAAAACATCAAAGAAATAAGGGATATCCTATCTCTCTCTCATAATAAACCAAATTCAAGACAAGAATAAGCAAGCAACAAGCAAGAGCAACCATAGTAACTGCATAAACAGTTGTGGTCCACTGGAAGCAGTGGAAAGAACACTGGATTGGGAGGAAGGAACTCAGTGTTTCATTTTCAGCTCTGCCTTTCACTAGCCACATGGGTCTGGGAAAGCAAATACAGCTGCCTGAGCCTGAGTTTCCTCATCTGCAAACTGAAAATGATAACATCTACCTTGTTCAGAGGCTCAAAGAAAATACATGTGAAATTCCTAGCAGAGTACCTGGACTATAAGGCCCTCAGTAAATGGCTCAATTGTAGAATCTTGGCAATTCTAAGAAAAATCTTGTATCAGTACAAAAGTGCTTATTTAATTAAGGGAACATTTCTGGGACATGTAGATTTTTTTATTTAGGAGGAGGTGAATAAGCAAGTGAGGTACGGAGAATGTCAAGGTCAAAAGGTCAGGGTCAAGAATATGCAAGCTTATGCAAGGGGAAGATTTAATAGGAACCATGGAAGGGGCATGAAGGGGAGCAAAGATGGCTGTGAATAGAAGTTAGAGAACTCAAATTGTCAGAAGTGTTTGCACTGAAATTTAAGGCAGGAGAGAGCTGAAGAAGGTTCTTATGCAATAAATTCAATGGTACATGTAAAAGCTAAATGGGAAGCCTTTTATAAATGTATTAGATAGGAGAGTGCAGACTGGATCTGAGTAAAAAGATACCAGTGCAAGCAGTCAACCAAGGCACAGCTGAGCCACACAGACATATGTGATGCAGGCCTGCCGCAGGTAACAGAGGGCAAGGAGAAGAATTTAAGAAGCAATAACACTTAGTGACAGATCTGCTGTGCTCCAGAAAGGTCTTTTCTACTTTGCAAAACACACCTGGCTTTAAATGTAAGCTGTATCGTTCTGTGCTCTGACCTCAACTGAGTCACTTAGTCATTGTGCATCTTTAAACATAGTCAGAGTTCTCATAAGCACCATACAGACCAGGATCCCCCAAACCTTCTTAACAGCAGCTGCTGGATGCAGTGATTTGATCAGCCTCGGTTCATCCAGCAACACGCACCTGTGCCAGGGAAACGGTTGCCAGGCCCTGTTTTCATACCTCACAGAGCTCTCTTCTTTGCCAAATAAGTTTGCTCTTAAATATTCACAGCATTATTTGGGTTTAAAAACAGCTCCATGCCATCAGGCAGAAAACATTCAGTGATTTCTCTATGGAACTTTAAAACCAGGAAGAAAAATAACTCACACATAGTGCCCCCCCCCCCAAAGCCAGAGAGATCCTCTCTTCCTCTATCTTGGAAATGAAAGGCCGATCAGCATCACCTTGTTGGAACTGCATCTACAATCCCAGTTGCTTTCATCAAAGTTCACGAAGGTCACATTTGAAAGTTGAACAATTGTGAAATCTCACATTTTCTGCCTATCATGAGACCTGATGAGATAGGTGGGGAATGGCAAAATTATACCATTCCAGTCCAGGAATGTGTCTCAAGAAGAAGAAAACGTCAATCCTATGACAAAAGTAAAATTAGTCCCATGTACTGGGTTTCTCTTTTGAGAATTGAATGTCATGGTTTTGAACATGTCACAGGCTTAAAGCCTCCCTTGACTCTGGGTATGGAGGAATTAATTGATCTTTTGTCCTCCCACCTTCCTCTTTTCCAACCCACATGCCAAAAACCAAAACATTCTTCTGGGTGAGTCTGTCTCACAAAATTCCTCTGGAAAACTACATCCACTGGTGAGCCAGGTTGCAGCAGTCTCTTAACTGGATGGGCACAGGTAATATATCTCAATCTCTTCATGAGACACCATATCCCTAAGATTCTAATGCCAATTAAATAAGAAATCGCAAGGGTTACTGCAGGTCAGTGTATGTCAAAATCTGATTCTAAGAGTTAGCAAAAGGGATCAGAAGTAAGAACCTCTTTCTGTGATTACATGGGCAGATAGACAAGAAGTGTATCTTCCGTGGGTGATATGGATAATTAGATGAGATGTAATGGATTCTGTTTAGCCAAACTCAAGTGTAGGAATACAGCAGACACCCAAATCACTTTGTTTAAATATGGATTTTCCCTCAATTTGATAGATGCTTTGATTAAGCAACATTGTGCCTTGGTCTTTCTGTACATGATTCTTACTCTCAAGCCAAAACAGGTTTTGTAATATCTTGGTGATGAAAACTCTTCAGATTTGAAACATTAGTTCTATTTTTCATAAAACCTTCACTTACTTATTCCAATAGTGCTTAGTACAAATCTAAGTAATGATTTTGTAATGATATTAATATCAGCAGCTCTTCTGAAAACAACTCTAAAGGTAAGGTAAAATTATTATTACAATGTCTTTTGTAATTGTCATTACAATGTTCATAACCTCCTAGTATATGTGACCCCTATTTTGACACATAGTTAAATGTCTGTGTGGGGGACTTAAAACGGGCTGTTCAATACGGAGGTAGATGTCCTACAAGTGTTTACAAGGAGAGAAGAAGAAAAACAAATACCTAGAAATTCATCTTCCCACTCAGATACCTGACCTCAAGATGGGAACACCCAGGGCACAGAAGAGTTTAAGGGGTCCCAGGAGAGTTTAGAGAAACGGTTCTTCTTAGTCTGTGAAGGAGAGCCCAAGGCTTCAAACTTGTGTCCTTGGCTTCCAGGCATCTTCCCAGTGGGAGTTTCATAATATTACAACTTTTTAAAGCCAAAAGGTGAGGGAGAAAGTTATATATTTTTAGTTATTTTTTTTGTAATGATCTCCCTGAGGAGGGGAATGTAAATTCATGATGCCCTTCAAGTGCAAAATTTGACATTTACTGTAATTGAGGAATCCCATTTGTCTTACATCCAATGCCATTTCCTATAGAAATGTGAAAGTTTGCTCCAAGACAAGAAGAATAGAAAATAGATCTCACAGATGTGCTGTCACCCCTCCTTTGCTACCAGAATATGGTTGTACAGAGGGCTAATCAGACCCTATAGCATGTCTTTTAACCTGAGGGCTGTGCTAACCATTCTGACCTGACAGGAGTGGGCCATCCCTTAGAGCTGCCCTTTTTCTTTCTATACCTCTCAAGGAAGAAAAAGCAAATCTAGTGTTGAAGTGAGAGTGTATTTGCATATATTTAAAATTATTCATAGCTGGGAGGCAAATGAAAAGAACAATGGACAGGAGAAATACTTGTATTTCTTTTTGTTTTTTGAGTGCAGACTATGGAATTCTTATGCTTATGATGCCTCCTTTGCTCATTCTCCTTTGCTGGTTCTTTCTCAGCTCTTCCATCCTCTAAATTTTGCAATGCATTGGGCTTCAATGCTCTTTCATCTTTTCTCCTTTCCTCACTTCCTCCCTCGGTGTTTCTTGGCTTGAAACACCTTTAAGCTAACAATTCCCAAATTTATGTTTCCATCCCAGATCTCTTTTCTCAATGCCAACTGCCCAACTAACATCTCCACTTGGATATCTGACTGGCATTGCAACTTAACACTTCCAAAATGGAACACCTGGTTTCCCTCTTCAAATCAGGTCTTTGCTCATGTCAGTAAATCTGTACCTACGTTCTTTTTGTTATTCAGGCCAACAATTTTGGGGTTATCTTGACTTCTTTCTCTTTTACTCTATATCTAATTCATCAGAAAATTCAACTGGTTGAATTTGCAGAATTGTCCCTTTATCTCCAATAACCTGATCTAAGCCCAATGTCATCTCTAGGCTGGAAGTAGTCTCCATGGCAACCATCTGTAGGTAGTCTTCCTGTTTTTGTCCCTTTAACTGTCTAATCTGCATACACAGAAACCAGATGGATGATATTAAAACTCACTCAGAGTAAAAGTTGAAGGCTTTAACCTTCTCCGCAAGACTCTATATTACACTACCCATTACTTCTTTTTCCCATAACCTCTCTGATTTCATCTTTGACCATTGTGTTCATTGCTACATTCTTGGTATCTGGAACGGAGCCTGCTGCATAATAGTTGCCTATAAGTATTGGTGGAATGCATAAATTCCTCACTCAAAATAGAAAGTGGTAAACTAAACATGGAATGCTTAAACTCATAAAGTCATTTAGAAGTAAGAACTGCTCCCAAAGATCATCTGATTCACTTCTTCATTTTACAGGTTAAAAACCGAGTCTTTGAAAGCTTAAGTGATTTGCCCAAGGTCACATGGTTAGTCAATAGAGACAATTTGCTCCTGTTCCTCATTAATTCCTTTCTCAAAAACTTTTGGTCCTTATTTAGACTTTAAGCTATTATTTTTCAAACTTTCCTTCATTCCTATATTCAGCATTCTGATTTTCCCACATGATTTTAGCAGTTTAGCATGGTGATTAACAACACATTCTAGAGCAGTGGTTCTCAACCTTCTGGCCCTTTAAATACAGTTCCTCATGTTGTGACCCAACCATAAAATTATTTTCATTGCTACTTCATAACTGTAATGTTGCTACTGTTATGAATCATAATGTAAATATCTGATATGCAGGATGGTCTTAGGCGACCCCTGTGAAAGGGTCGTTCGACCGCCAAAGGGGTCGCAACCCACAGGTTGAGAACTGCTGTTCTAGAGCCAGTCTCCCTGAATTCATGTTACATGAGGAGGAGCAAAATTTTGCTGTCCCAAAATATGGCTCTTGTGATATTGATTTTAAGCTGGTAATTAAGGGAAATACAGACTCAGGAAGAACTTTTGATCCTCCCTCTTTATCGCCTAAAAGGAATTTTGATAGAGGACGTGTTCCAGGAAGGGAGATGTATGTCATCACAGTTTAAACATAGTTTAATATGGATTAGTGAGTGATAGACAGGGAAGAACCCAACAGGCCTGCTTGATCCAAGTCCTCTCTGTGTCCTACTGAGAAAGATGGCCCAGCAAACATTTGTTTACTAAGCATTTGCTTTTCTATATTCATGCGAATTGCCTTCCTTCCCTTTGAAGTCCCAAACCTCAACATTTTTCTTTTCCTTAGCTCCAGAATAGCGTATGAGCCTCAATTGCCATAGCAATTAAATTTGGTTATTTTCTCCTGTTAATCTGTCTCTTGTAAATTTGGTTATTAGCCCAGATAGAAGACATTAAAAAGGTGGGAGGAAAATTAATTTTTTGACCTCTACACAGACTACTCTGCTTATTGTGTAACCTTAAACAAACTAAGTATCTTCTCCATACTAAACAAAGAATTGATGAACTAAAAAGGCAACCTATAGCTGCTATGGAAAATAGTATGTAGTTTCCTCAAAAAATTAAAAATACATCAAACATATGATCTAGCAATCCAGCTTCTGGATATTAATCCAAAAGAATTAAAATCAGTATAACAAACTGATATCTGTACTCCCATATTTACTGCAGCATTATTCACAATGGTTAAGATGTAAAAACAACCTAAATATCCATCAACAGATGAATGAATGAAGAAATTGTGTTATATACATAAAATGGGATATCATTCAATATCTTATTTATTTATTTTTAAAATATGTTTTTATTGATTTTAGAGAGAGAAAAACATTGATGTGAGAAACATTGATTAGTTGCCTCCGTAAGCACCCCAACCAGGGATCAAACCTGCAACTTGGGCATGTGCCTTGACCAGGAATCAAACCAGTAACCCTTCAGTGCAGGGGATGATGCCCAATCAACTGAGTCACACCAGGAAGGACTCAGTATTTTTTTAAGGAAATCCTTCAATATGCAACAACATGGGTAAGCCTGGAGTACATTATGCTAAGTGAAATAAACCAGTCACGAAAGGGCAAATATTACATGATTCCACTGATGTCTGGTATCTAAATGACTAAATCTATGGAAGCAGAGACTAGAATGGTGATTTCCAGGGACTAGGGAAAGGGGGAAATAAGGAATTTGTGTCCATGGATTAAAATTTCAGTTATACAAGATGAGTCATTTCTAGATATCTGCTATACAATATTATGCCTATAGTTAACAATACTGTATTGTACATTTAAAAATTTGTAAAAGGGTAGATCTCATGTTAAATGTTCTTCCTACAATAAAAAAAATAGAAAATACATTTAGGATATGATGAAGCAGGTTGTTTGACACTGTCAATCATCAAGTTATGGAATAATCTCCCAAAGGAAATGTGAAAATGCCATCATTTAAACCATTTGAAACCTGACTGAAGAAAAGCACACACACACATAAAGTGACCTTGTTCTTCTCGCTACATGGGTGACAAGACCACACAAGCAGGAACTAAGACACGGGTGGATTCCACAGACATTCTCCAGACCGCCCACTAGTGTGAGGAAGAAAGAAGAAGATAGGGCTGGAATTGATGACTCACATCAGGATGACTTGCTCAGCATGTTCCTGGCTCAGTTACAACTTCCTGAAGTCACCACACTCTCAGAAGTTTCCAGGGAACAGGAGGTCCATCTCCATTCTACCCTACATTTGGAATTGGCCTGTGTTTTGCTTTGTTTTGTTTTAAATCAGAAACAACCAGTGTAGAAGACCAGACCACACAATCTATAAAGACCAGACCACACAATCTATAAAGGGCAGACAGAACCTTAGACCAGGGGTCAGCAAACTATGGTCCAAGGGTTAAATCTGGCCCACAGCCTATTTCTCTAAATAAAGTTTTATTGGAACACATCCAAGGCCACTCATTTGCATAGTGTCTATGGCTGCTTCCACAGTAAAAGTGCAGAATTGAGTAGTTGCTACAATGACTCATGGTCCACAAAGCCTAAGATAATTATTATCTGGCCTTTTATAGGCTTGACCCCTGCCTTAGACTAATAATTTTAAGAGTAGTAATTCAAACATTTCCAGGGGAAAATATGTAAAAATTATTGCTTTCTTCACATCTTTTAAGTTGTGGAATAGGAAAAAAATAATTTGAATAGAATATGGGAACTTTTTATGAATCTAGTCTAAGATAGCACATGCCAGAGCCTGGAGCACACATCTGTGACACTAAAGTAGTGTCATGATTAATAATGAAAGCACTAGCTCTGACCAGGTCACTCAGTTGGTTGGAGTGTCCTCCCATGCACCAAAAGGTTGTGGGTTAGATTCCAGGTCAGGACGCCTATCTAGGTTGAGGGTTTGGTATGTGTGCAGGAGGCAACTGATCAATGTTTGTTTTTTTTACATCAATCTCTCTCTCTCTCTCTCTCTCTCTCTCTCTCTCAAAGTCAAAAAACATATCCTTGGGTGAGGATTCAAAAAAAAAAGAATGAAAGCACTAGGATCACAAAGGCCCGAACGTGAATCCTGGATTTACTCTTTGCCAGCTGTGTAACCTTTGCCAAATTACTTAGTATTATCCAGCTCATAGGGCTCTTGAGAGGAGTGAATGAATTACTTTAGGTAAAGCACTTAGCACAGTTCCTGCTATATTAGTATGTGCTAAAAAAAAAACAACTACCTAGTTTTATGATTACTATGTAATCAAAAAACTAAACTTAACAAGATTGAAGATGAAGATGATGAAATACAAATGCATTGCTTGTTAAGTATTACCTGCACAGTCTCCTCTGGCATCTCCACAGAGAAGGCCATCACTCTCAGGACTTCTGGTTGAGTTCCCATCTGCCACAGCACAGTGGAGAATCACTAGACCTTCAAGTTCAAAACAGAACCAAAACAAACATGAAGACTTGAATATTTCCTCAATGTGAAATACTCTATCAAAATTATGACCCATTTATAAAAATAACAAGCCTGTGGCTTCCATTTCTAATCCATTATCCCACAGGGAGGGATGTGTACCCAAGCCAGCATGTCTCATTCTTTCAAGCTCAGTGCAGAAGACAGAATTTTCAAGCCAGCATAACTATGCACCTTAAGTAAGGAAACTTGACCATAATTTGTGATAGAAACTTATCATATAAACGGAAAATAGAGTTCTTAGCCACTGGATGAATTAATAAATGAGTTCCCAGGGAGAATGGGTGATGAACCATATGGCAATGTACTTTCTCCATTCCACACAGATCAAATGTTTCTCAAGTATTAACTATCGAGTTCCTTCCTCTTGGAAAGATGTGACCTAGACATGCAATTTATAGGAATTATTTTAAAACTTTATTTACATAAAACAAATTGATAATTGTTGGAGCTGAGTGGTGGATATATCAAGAGTCACTATGCTGTTCTCTCTACTTTTATATATATATTTGAAAATGTCTAAAATAAGAACTTGAGCAGGCTTTCAGTAAAGGTGGCAGTGTAGATAAACATGGTACTTGCATCCTCCCACAATCACATCAAAAATACAACTAAACTACAAAACAACAATCATTCAGAACCACCTGAAATCTAGTTGAATGGAAGTCCTATAACTAAGGATACAAAGAAGCCATATTAAGAATGGTAGGAAGAAAAACAATGAATGGTAGGGGGGCCAGGGCATAAAATGAGCTAGTCCCACTCACACATGTGGTGGATAAAAATTGAGAAGGATATCTCAGCTGTGGCGTTATCCCCTGATGAGCGAGGGATCCCAGCTGCACAACCAGGTCCCAGCCCAGGGTTCCAGTGCTGGGAAAAGAAGTGCCAGTAACTTCTGGCTATAAAAAACAGTAGGGATAGTGGCTGAGTGAGAAGGCACTTCTCTGAAAGGGCCCACCCATGAACTTACTCAGACTTACTCACTCTGAGCTGCAGGTACAGCAAGTTGAAAGGAACAAGGGACATACCATGATGAAATGAATTGTCTGGCATCTAGGTGTTGACAAAGGTCATTGCTCTTTTTTTGAGACACTCCCCACAGAACCAGAAGGCAGGTGCCATATCTAAGTCTCCATCAACCTGACTATCACTATTCACCCGCCATTGTAATTCCAAGACCCTGTCCCACCAACTGGCACACCCAAGCTGATTCCAGTGGTTTTTCCATATAAATGGCCTGTCTTGGCTCATTCTTAGGACTCTTGAGAGATTTTTAAATCTCTCACACAAGCAGCAGCATCTGATCTCAGCATGCTCTGTACTCTCTCTAAGTAGCCTCAGGCCTGGCACTAGCAAGCAGCCAGCCTTAGTTCTCAGGTTAGCCTTTCCTGAGCACCTCCAAGCCCAGCACAAATAACAGCCATCTGCAGATTGCTCAGTAGCTTGTGCCAGGTGGCCCCAGGCAGAACAGATGGTTGCTGACCTTGGCCTACACCTCCTGGAAGGCCCTGGAGCCAGCACACCCAGTGGACAGCTTCAGACCACATCAAAGCACCACTATCCAACCAGCTCCACAAGCGACATACTCAAGGAGTACACTCAGCATGCACCAGACCCCTGCTGAAGTAAGTTCTGCTCCATGGGGTGGGCCCCTGCACAGCTGATCCTCCACGCTGGTCATAGCCAGTCCTTGCAGCTGATTGGCCTAGGGATAAATCCATCCCATTTATGTACCAACAGCAATCAAGGTTCAACTATAACAGGTGGGTGTACATGGACACACCTCAAGTACCCAGTTCTGGTGAATAGTGGAGGGTAGTGATGGAGCATCTAGGACAATTTCAAGTGTATCAACATTTACATCATGGGGCTGCAGGAAAGACAAGAGAGAGCAAGAAATTGATAACATATTTAATAAAATAATGAAGGAAAACTTCCCTAACTTGTTTCCTACAAGTCCAGGAAACACAGAGAGTCTCAACAAGATGAACCAAAAGATACCCACACCAAGATATATCATAATTAAAATGTAAAACATTAAAGACAAAGAGAGGGTATTAAAAGCAGCAAGAGAAAAGCAGTTAGTTACCTATAAGGGAGCTTCTATAAGAATGTCAGCTGATTTCTTAACAGAAACATTGCAGGCCAGAAAGGACTAGCAAAAAACATGAAAAGTTATAAAAACCAAGGACCTACAGCCAAGATTGCTCTCCCCAGCAAAGCAATCATTTAGGACATATAAAGAGATTCCAAGATATAAAGAAGCTGAAGGAGTTCATCACCACCAAACCAGTATTACATGCAATGTTAAAGGGCCTTCTTTAAGAAGAAGAAAAGAAATATATAAAAATATGAACAATAAAATGTCAATAAATACATATCTATCAACAATTGAGTCTAAAAAAACAAAATAAACAAACAAGCAGAACAGAAACAGACTCATAGATACAAAGAACATTTTTATATTTTCCATATGTGAGGGGGATTGGGGGGTGAGTGAAAAAGGTAGAAGGGATTAAGAAGCACAAATTGGTAGTAACAGAAAGTCATGGGGATATAAAGTACAGCATAGGGCATATAGTCAATAATATTCTAACAAATATGTATGATGCCAGATGGGTACGAGATTTATCAGGATAATGAATTAGTAAGATACATAATGTCTAATCACTGGGGTATATACCTGAAATGAATATAATATTGTATGTCCACTGTAGTTAAAAATTCATATCAAACCTGGATTTTTCTGTTTCTACTGAAAAAGCAGAAAGTCTGGCAACATAGCTCTGAAACTCCTTCATGGCAAAACTGGCTGGAGCTAAGTAGTAGGTGACACCTTTAAATGCCACAGACTCCATCAGGATTTCCACACTCGTTTATTTGAACTGCCTAGACCTGGACAGGAATTTCAGCTTGTAAACTGTATGAAATGACTCAGAAATTAGATAAATGCTCACAAAAACATCTAATCAATCCTGAAGGCTGCTTCAAAGAGGGTACTCCTGTTCCATCCAAAATTCAATACATATATTAAGCACTATGTGTTTGGCACAGCTGCAAGACACTGAAGGTTTAAAGATAACAAATTATCACTAACCTCAAGGAGCTCACATTCTGATAATGAAGAAAGACACACAAATCTTTAAAGTGTAATAAGCACAACAGCAGAGGTAATAGAGGAATAACACAGGATGGAGAATAAGCTCTGCCCAGCAGCAAAGACTTCACAGAGAGGGTGAGGATTTATGGTGAGTTTTTCATGAGGGAATAACTATTTTTTAGCATCAGTTAATAACTTCTATAAAATAAAAATTGTGTAAGCAAGATAACATAATTATAGTATAGTTATCTGTCTCAATAGTGGATAATCTTCACAGGGCAATAATAATGTAAATACTGATAACTTAACAAAAAATTGTCATAAAATCAGGGCCAGTAACTTGCCCACATACACCATTGTGAGAAAACTCGTTGTGATTAATCAGTGTCTATGCTGTGCCAATTCTTAAATGTTTTGATTACCACCCCATTAGTAACTATACTGGAAGTATGCGAGAAGAGAAACCTAACAGGTAAAGTCTAAACTAGACAAATCAAGAAATAGCATTACAAGTAAATTATTTAGCAAGACATAGGTGAACACAGAAGAAATACCTAAGAGTTGAAAATGGCTGCTTCTCAGGTAGAGAAGCAGGAAGGCATGGTACAATGATCTGCTGTTGCTGCTATACACTTCTCAGCACTATATAATTTTTAAGAATCCATGTATATTTATTACACAATTAAAAATAAAGTGAATTTTTAAGAAAGGGATAAAATTGTAATTAACTAGGAGATAGATGATGATAGATAGATAGATAGATAGATAGATAGATAGATAGATAGATGATAGATAGATAGATAGATAGAAGGGAGAGGGAGAGAGAGATAGAAACATCAATGATGAGAGAGAATCGTTGATCAGCTGCCTCCTGCACACCCCAGAGAATCGTTGATCAGCTGCCTCCTGCACACCCCCCTACTGGGCATGTGCCCTGACCAAGAATTGCCAGCCGGGCTGTACATTCTAACCAAAAGGTACAATTTGTAAAAAGTCTTGGCAAAAATAATACGACATATCCAGCTTGTCTGGAGGGTGGGTGGGGATTGTGATGGAACAGGAGGCTGGAGAGCAAGAAGGAAGCACATGGCCTAAGAGTCAAGTTAATTAGTGTGAATTGTTATGCAGCTAAAATGGGTCGTTGAACATATTGAAAATCTTTTCTTTTTTTTAGTTTGAAAAGGTTACTTTAATGATACAGGTGAATCAGACACACCTAACTCAAAATGCTGTCACTGGGTATGGAGAAGAAGAAATGATTATGAGAGATATTCACAAAGTAAAAGATAAAGGATTTGGTGACTAATAGGATAGGGTGGGAATTGACGAAAAGGGAGCCAGAGTTTGTGGCTTGAGTGACTGTCTGGACTGTCACAGATATAAGGTATGCAAAGAAGACAAACAGGTTGAGGATATAACTGATTTGAAATATAAATCCCATTGTGATGGTGTAAGGAGGTGATTAGGTCATGAGGATAGAGCCTTCATGAATGGGATCAGTGCCCTTATAATAGAGACTCTGAGAAACCCTTTGCTGCTTTGGCCATATGGGCACAGAGAGAAGATATCTGTCTATAAATAAAAAATCAGGCTCTCTCCCTACCCTGAATCTGCTAGTGCCTTCATTTTGAAATTTGTAGCCTCCAGAACTGTGAGAAATGTTTGTTGCTTACCCAGTCTATGGTATCCTATATAATAAAAGCCTAATATGCTAAGTGTCCGGTCATCCATTCAACCAATCAAAACGTAATATGCTAATGATATACTAAGGCCGCTCAACCGCTTGCTATGATATGCACTGACCACAAGGAGGCAGACACTCCAACTGGTAGGTTAGCTTTTGCTGGGG